AATTAAGAGTTGGTCATCAATTCATTAACTTTTAAAAAATAAATTATGGTTAATATATGTTAATTCTAGTTTATTTTTAAAAAAATTATATTGATATATGTTAACTCTAATTAAATTCTCTAACTTATTACACATTTTATCTTGAATTAAATTTTAAAATTATATATTTATTTAGCTGATTAATACTAGTTATAAAAAATAATTCTTTTATTTTCTTTTAGAAAAGGGGTTTTGAAAAATAGAGAATATCGATGTAAATTAAGTTTCAAACTAGTTAAATTAAGTTATTTAACACTTGTTTAGCTCAGAAATTTCTTTCATGCCATATTTTTCTGTACTGAGTTGAAACATTAAACAGATTCATGAGCCTGCATGAAAAAACAATACTTTAATATTATTTGTTTGTGTGGCTGGATTGCTTTTTTTGAATTTCTTTAATTTTAAATTATTGTTTAAATATTTTTAGATTGTTTTTTATATCCTAATATTAAAAATAAAAAATATTATTTTAATATATTTTTAAAAAAATACATTAAAAAACAACATATATCTCGAGTATATTTTCACACTTCACGGATCATTTGCTAACGAGATTTCACCTTTTACCGTGCAACTAACGAGATTTCACTTTTACCGTGCACCGAAAGGGAAGAACACGTGCAATCTTTTTTCTTGTTTTCTCAAAGAAGAGTGCATAATCTTTGAAATATACATTTCTTTTGTATCTAATTTTTATAATATCGTTGAGTACTGGTCCAAGTACATACTTATAATTTAATTTACTCCGTGTATCATTGTCTTAGATTCAAATCGATCATGAAGTTAGATTTTTGTAAATGCAATGAGTAGTCATAGGATCAAAAGAGTATTTAATTTAGATACGTGAAGAGTAAACCAAAGAAAATTCGTCACTTTAAAATTATTTTTCACATAACAAAACATAAATTAATATTTTTGTAAATGATTTTATAGCTTAAAAATTAGAAAAAAATAATATTATTTTTATATATTTTTATTTAAAAAATATATTTTAAAAATATTATATATTATATTTCTAGATATACACTTAGCGCGTGTTTAGTATTGTAGTATATTATACTTTCTAAAAAGCTTTTTGTTTAGAAATTTATAATGATAATTATTTTTAAATTTTTATTTATTTGTGATATCATTACATTTAAATTATAAAAAAATATATTAATTCAATAATTTTTAAAAATAAATATATTATAAAAGTACTCAAACGCAAATTAAAATACACTCTTAAACAAATACTTGGTGTATTTTTTAGAGATTCCTAGAGGTGGCTTTTAAATGCATTTTTTATTTATAAATATATTAAAATAATATTTTTAAAATATATAAAAAAATTAAAATTAAAAAAAATAAATGAATGGTTATACCCACTAAAAATAAATCCATGTTCTCTTTGTTTTCGTGTTTTTAAACTGTTTTTAGAAAAATTTAATTTAATTTAATTTTTATAATTTTAAATTATTTTTTTGATATTTTTAAAATTTTTGATATATTAATATTAAAAATATTTTTTAAAAATAAATAAATATCTTAAAATAAAAAAGTATTTTAAAAAATAATGATAATGAAATTTGCAGGCAGGCCATTAATTGCAATTATAATTTATAATATGTACGGTAAAATTGACTTAATTCTAAAACATAGTTAACAAGATGCACGGTTGGTATTCAATCACGTACACAGTGTCAGGATCTTTACTCTGCAAAGTACTAAGCAATAAATGACCCCACGTGTCTGTCACTTTCAATTCCTCCCTTGCGGTGGCGTTGTTCCAGGATTGCGTTTGTCAACGTGGCACCGCCTTTACATAGAAGCTATATTTTGCTTTTTTATAAAATATTGATACGATCGGATGTATAAAATATAAAAGAAATCAAATGAATCGGATCCCTCAACACTTTTTAAAGAGTTGACTATAGTTACAGATATGATTATTTTTTTAATTTTTTTATTTAAAAATATATTAAAATAATATTTTTTATTTTTTGAAAATTATTTTTGATAAAAATATATTAAAATAATCTAAAAATATTAATTTAAAATAAAAAATTAAATTTATTTAAAAAGTTTTTTAAAATACAAAAACAGATAAAACTTTTCTCTTATTAAATTAAAAATTAGCTTCAAATCCTAAATTTTACAGGTAAATGTATCGTGAGATTTAATAACTATAGTTCTGTTGTGCTGGACGGCTATTGAAGTTATTATCTATTTGGTCATCCAAAATTTTAGGGTAGGTCAGTCCACGCTCAAAAAATTATTTTCTAGACAACATGTGTATATTTTAATGATTTTAAGATAGATATGATTCCAATTGTGTTTTAACCAAGCATCCTCGTATTATCTACTCTGGAAGTATGATAAATATCAGTTTTTAAAATATTTAAATATTTTTAAATAATATTTTTAAATATTAATATAAAAATAAAAAATATTAATTTAAAAACTTTTTAGAAAAATCAAGAATTTTAAAAAGTACCGCAATATAAAAAGGTATTTGTTCACTTGTAAAATATATTTGTTTTTATATTTAAAAATGTTTTAAATTTTTTTAAATTAATATATTTAAAAAATATATTCAGCTTCAAATTAATATTTTATTATAATATATTTCTAAAAAAGCATTTGGGAAAAATAATCCTTGACATAATCTTAAGCACTATTTTAATTGAATTTAACGAGACAACGTTCTACATAAGCTGGCCGTAACGTTCTTGAATTATACTTTGTACAAAATTCCACATGTCGTTTTGTAAGTCCATATGACGGAGCGAGGTGCCACTTCAACATGTAAGCATGCGCTATGGTTACATGTGTTGAGGCACTTTAGCAGCCTCTGTCTCCCGACTGCGATGTTTGCTGCACTTCTGACCGTTCACGTAGCGGCTTATTAATAGACGACAACTATTCAAATGCTCGGCCTGCCCCTTGGACCGATGGCGTGTCAATTTGCTGATGGACTGGTCATCACCGTTTTTCTCCATGCGCGTGATGCTTGGACAATATTTGTGCTTCAATTGAAGAAGGCTTACACATGTTTATTTGAAATTATAATAATGATATAATTTAAATTTGTTTATTTAGAAATATATTAAAATAATTTTTTATTTTAAAAAATTATTTTAATGTCAATATATCAAAATAATATAAAATATATAAATAAATTTTATTTTAAATAAAAAATCTATTTTTTTAGAAACCCTCTGCAGCTTGCATTTATTGCCACTGTAATTAGTTTCTGTATATAAATTAAATATATTTGATATTGTAATAAATTTTATAATTAAAATTAAAAAAATTAAAAAAAAAATTAGTTGTGGTTTTATGTATATATAGACACACATGTGAGATAAAATTATAACTATTATCAAGTAGTGTTTAAAATAAAATCATCGATCAAAAAAAATTCTTGTTAAAAAACATAAGCTGTTACATTATAAAAATTTATTGTTGATGGTGGCATGTTAAAATTAATAATATATATAAAAAAAACTAAAATAAGAGAGGGATCTTATTTTTTTTACACATACACTAATTTCAAACACCTCATTTAAAACTAAATTTGCTAATAATTAAATTTTATAATTTTTTAAATTTATTTTAATAAAATTATTTTAGTCTCGTAATCTAAACCGTGAGTTTGACGGTTTTATTTGGCCAACTCGAGTTTTTATTTTTTTAATTAATTTTTTCCTCGCAAAATACTATTTGCTTTGATACTATTTTTTTATTTGTTTTTTCAATTTCAATTGCATCACTGAACATTAAATTTATTAGAGACTATATTTCATAATTTTTTTAATGTATTTTTTACAAGATTATCCTAATCTCGTGAATTAAATCGCGGGTTTGATGGTTTACGAGTTGACTCGAGTTTTTTTCTCTTTTCTTTGTTTGTTTTTCTAAATTTATTAATTAACATCGAGTTGATCAAGAATTTGACTTCATAGTTTATTTTAGTTTGCTTTCTATAAGGTTATTTTTATCTCGTGACTCGGCTCATGAGTTTAATGAGTTAGCTCAAGTCTTTTTTTATTTCAATGTCTCAAATTGTTTTATATTAGGTTTTTGTGGTCCCGGTACAGGTTTGACAAATTAACTGAAGTTGACTTGATTTTTTTTTTAATTTTATTATTCAAAATCGAGTTTATTGAAAATTAAATTTTATAATTTATTTTTTATAAGATTGTCATGGTCTCATAACCCATCATGCATATTGGTTAGTTAACCTAGCTTGATTCGAATCGATTTGATAAATTATTGTCTCAATATATATAAGAAAAATCTCACAATAAATATTTATTTTGAGTCAAATTATATTTTTCACCGAGTATCTGGTTACTTTTGGATTCATCAAGACAATCAAATTATATAATGTCAATCCTTATATGATTTATATTTTTTTTATAGTGCAAAAATATTAATAACACTTATATTATTTTTTTCTAATGTTAAAAAAGTTTACTCCACCCGTAGGTTGGTATAGGCCGAATATCCAATCTAATGTGATACTTGAAACATTGACACCAATGAAGAAATGACTTGCATGAAACTAGAGCTATAATCAGATGAGTGAACTATGGTTATGATCAAGAAAAAAGTTCCATTTCATATCATCTTCTATCAGAATTATGAATCACGCGGGCGACAACCATGGTTTCCCATTGCTGAACTTCTCTATGATTATTTTTTGGTACCAATTTCTCTGTGATTCTAAACATTCCTGATGTGGGTATAACCCGATAAAATTTAAATTTGATTAATTCGATTCAGTGTTTTTACCTGATTGGTCTGATATTTATAAAAATAAAATAATTAATTTAAATGATTGCAAGGTTACACGATGCCTCACGCACCTATCCTAAATATCTCGGGCATTACAGGACTGGCCCAAGAGAACCATAAATGCTGACCCAGAATTGAAAAAGAAAAAAAATCGAGCTCGACACAGCCAGCACCAAAAAGCCCATGACCGCAAATAACCTCATCCTCAACAAATACTCCATCACCACCATCCTTTCTTCTCTCTGCCTCACAGACACAAGAAATGGCACTTTGTCTGACTAACACTTTCCTCCAAACCAAACCAATCTCCCCTCCTCTGCCACCCATCAAAAAGGTAAGATTACCCTAAACCCGCTCGTAAAACAATATATATTTTTAAAAATCCTGGTTACTTATTATTTTTTTTTTATTAATTGCAGGTGAAGGTGAGTGCGGCAGGGAATCACGGGCTGCAAGTGACGTGCAGGAAGAAAGACATACACCCAGAGTTCTATCAAGACGCCAAGGTGTATTGCAATGGAGAGCTAGTGTTGACAACAGGTGGGACCAAGCAAGAGTACGTGGTGGATGTGTGGTCAGGCAACCATCCGTTTTACCTCGGAAACCGGTCCGGTGTTCTCGTAGATGCTGACCAGGTGGAGAAGTTCCGTAAGAAATACGGAGGACTCTCGCAGATTATGGAAATTCCTGTACTTAAAGGTGAGGTTATTTTGCCTACCAGGAAAAAATCTTCTACTGGTAAGGGGGGCAAGAAGAAGTAGAGACCATAAGGTATGGATAGTCGTTTGAAGTGATTTGGGGGCTTTGGTTTGGTTTGTCTGTTAATTGTAAAATGATGCATACCTGTTTGATGAAATGCCTATTTTTTGTTGTTAAAAAGTGAATCTTTTGTGGGCTTATATGATGCTGCAATGCCTTGTGTTTATTTTTTATTAGTTGCTGGATTCATAGCAGAACAGAAATAATTGAACTGGAATGTACTAGGCCGGATAACTATACCATAAGGGTTAATTTTTAGAGTTCTGAAATTTTAGGTTTATGTGAGGTTAAGGAAAAAATGACTTCTGCGTTGTTGCATAATCCGCTGTTCTGATGGAAACCTGTTTAAGAATCAAATCTCGGAGGATATTCATACATGGAACATGTTGTGGAATTCCTTTCAAATGTTAAGCTGTGAGTGTTAATTTTTAAATTAGCCTACGTATCTTTCAGCTTTCAAGGGAATGGGAGTTGTAGATTGAAGTTTTTGATGTTCTAGAACGGGGTTAAGTGTGGTGGTACTTAAGTTTTTTTTTTTTTCTTTTTGCACGGAGGCTATCATAGATGCAGATATGTATAGAAGAAAAGGATACTTTTAATGGCAACTTATTGCACTGAAACAATTAAACATTGACTCGAAGGACATAGATGCAACTCATAATAGCCATAGATGGCTTATTTGATAAATACCAAGCACACGGGGTAGTTATAGTATCATTCATTTGGAGTTGGATGACGAAACTTGATGATCATCATTCTGGCATAGAGTTTAAGACCTGATTAACAGTTGAAGTAGCAGAAACATGCAAATCCTGGGAACTGTGCATGGCAAGCTCCATGAACTGCCCTTTGCAACGTCTTGCATTCACAAGGCGAAGTTTTGCTTCTGTCATCACAATTCGCCTCTGGCAAAGTTTTGCTTCTGTCATCGGCATCTCCGCAACCAGAATTAAGTAACCATACATTGAATCCTCAAAACTAACACTCACGGGGAAGCCACAAAAGGAGTAATAAGTTGATATATCATATACATGTGATAATGTAAAAGATAATCGAAGCCAGAATAGAAAGAACTGTGATCATGCATCATACCAGTGGATACGAGGAGAAAGAGGGAGAGGGAGAGCAGGACCAACGAAGATACGTGATTTATTAGCATAGCCATATTTTCTGTCAAGTCTTTGAAACTGGGAAATGGGTGTTTTTTTTGGTGTTGGAAGTGTTTGTATTTATAGCGGGATGGATCAGCTTTTTTTTATTGTCCCCTAGTATCAGAGTAGTAAGAGTAAACCTCGAAGATTTGATAACAAACAAGCACAATAAGTTTGACATTCTTGAGAGATGACAGACACGTAAACTTGAAGCCAGTTTGGCTGCACATTTGGAATTCGAAGTTTTCGTCATGTCTTTTTTGGCACATAACTTGGGATCTTATAAGTTGTCTTTGAGAAGGCTAGCGAAGACCAGGATAATGTAGAAGCATTTATGACAGGAAGTCAAAATGCAAGTGTATGGGACTTGGTGGAGATTAAGCTTGCAACTTGATGTGCTTCCACGGTGGTCTGGCAAGTCAAGTGACCTCAAAAAACGAGTTGTGAATTTATGAGCTCGAAATTTCAGTTGGACCCTCATTTTTTTTAGAAAGTTAAGGGGTGGCAGTGTCGACAACAACAGCATAGTTTTAGCGATAAAGATTTCATTTTCTGCGGTGATGGTCCTCGACCGCTTGGTTTAGCAGTAAAGATTTTTGTTTTCCCCGTTCAATTGTTGGATTCTTGCCTTACCATAGACGGCGCTGGCAATAAACTTTACTTCAGTTCAGTTGTTGGATTCTAGCCGTGCCGTGTACAAGGTTGGTGGATAGACGTTATTTCATGTGGCTCCATTTAAAGCTAGAACTTTCAGACATGACACAGGTTTGGTGATGAGACCTAGATGTGTAGGTGTGTACTGTCCATAACGGGATATAGCTTGTCTCACTGTTGGCAATACATACAGACGTGTGTGCACGGACTGCAACAATAGATTCTGAGGTCATCCAATTTGAAAGGGTATTTTCACTTGTTAGTATGCTTATCGGGCCACCGGGAAATAATTTTCAGCCGAGCAGGCCTTTCAAGCGAGTGCATTAGGCAAATATTAAGCGGTGGGTGCCCATTTGCTTGGATAGAGGAAACACAGCCTGAATAGCAAGGTGGCAGTGATATATCCCTTCTTTTTGGTTCATGGGCTCATTTCTTAGTCAATTAATTCAGAACTTGGCCTTCCCTCTCTTATGGAACCTCGACCGATTAAAATCGAAGGGGCTTTATTATACCCATGAGATGAGAGTGTTCCTTTCTCACTATCTTGGGCCAATTCCTGCATCCTCCATGTGCTCCGAAGAGACCAAGCTATGCCACATCAGTGTATCCACCGATAGCTGTACCCAACAGAAATAGCCATGTTCTCTTGCTTAGAATCATGTCTGCCAAGTCCATGCTCTTTTTTACAAACCCAAACCCAAGCCATAGTAGTCATTGACAAGTGAGTCCTGACACAGAGAACGACTCTCGTTCCATCTTCTCAAGATTATCCCGCCAAGTGCCCCTATGGGCAAAGTGTTGTGATTTGTCTTGCGGCAAACTAAAAATGCTAGCATTCGGATTATGACATGTAGCTCGTTGCGGATAATCTGACAGCCCAAACTTCACTTTTTGGTGTTAATCCTACAGGTCGTAGATGTTTTTGACACTGCTTTCAGGTAGGGATAAGAAAATAAAATAAAATAAAATAAATAAATTGAGAAAATTAAAAAAATAATTAAAAAAACTGAATCATGAAAAAACTAATTAAAATTTTTCAAAAAGTGACCAGTTTGATTTTGGTTTTATAATAAAAAAATAAAAAAATAAATAAATAATTAATAAAAAAAGAACTAAAGTTAATATAAAAATTAAATTTTAAGGTATGAAATTAAAAAAATATTCAAAATAAAATATATATAGCAATGAAAAGTTTGAGGATCAAATTTGATATAATCAATAAATAATATGACATTTTTAAAATTTTCACAATTTTTTAAAAGTATTTTTCGTTCAAAATAAAAGAAAAATACTTTTCTGAAAACTAAATCAATTTTTTTTATTAAAAAGTTTTTTTGATTAATTGGAAAATATTTTTTTTAATTAATTTTTTTAATGATATATAAACATAAAATAATTTTTTAAGAATCCTTTTTAAGAAATAAACATGACTGTAAATAATTCTCTCTTAATTTTCCATCTATCAAGCAGCGTGTGTCTCGTAAACAAACATATAATCTTAGTAGTCATGGAGGATAGAAGAAAAAGTCATGTTCTTATCAACCATCGTAACATGTTAGTCTTAATCAAGTCAAAATCAAGAGTAATTACCCTTTCATTTCTCCCTTCTTTAATTTTTTCTTCATGGAGAGGGCAAGCTCATAAAGTTGTCACGAGTCAGAGTTAGAACACTCGGGATAAGATTTCATCCAAACAACTGCATGATGCCTTGAAATTTCGTACTTATTAGTGGGCATACTTTACCCTAAAAATCAATACGTATATTTCATACTTGTAATAAATAATACTCAGATTTGACTTGATTCTTCACATTCAGCAAAAATGATAGAGACGGTTTATTTCAATACAAGATTGTGACAAAATATCCAAAACAAATCTTCCACGAAATCATGTTAGTGCATGCCTGATTGGAAACCATGTTCTAGCCGTAATAACAAACAAATACTTAGTCAAAACGGGGAGGTGGAGGAGACCTCCATGCTCTTTCTTGGTAATTCTCTAATTTATTAAACACTTGCATCCATGAACCGTTGGCTGTAGTTGGCTGCCTGGTCAAAAGTTTATTACGAAAAAAAAGGCGGGCATGACTGTGACTTGAGTTCTTAATTATTAGAGACGGTTTATTTCAATACAAGATTGTGACAAAATATCCAAAACAAATCTTCCACGAAATCATGTTAGTGCATGCCTGATTGGAAACCATGTTCTAGCCGTAATAACAAACAAATACTTAGTCAAAACGGGGAGGTGGAGGAGACCTCCATGCTCTTTCTTGGTAATTCTCTAATTTATTAAACACTTGCATCCATGAACCGTTGGCTGTAGTTGGCTGCCTGGTCAAAAGTTTATTACGAAACAAAAGGCGAGCATGACTGTGACTTGATGTTCTTAATTATATGCATGCATGCACTTTTTAAGAAACAATGAATTAGTTAATCCCAGACGTGCTGGTTGAGTTGGCACTTGGTAAATATTAGTGGTTCCGGGTATTTGTCACATGCCCATATATGTCAGTCTTAATTTAAAGCTTATCCCAAGTTTGTCACTGAATTTGTCTCTCACATTATGGTTTAATTTGGATTCATACCTTGTTATATAAATTCGTGGAAAATATATTTTTTTATGATGATTTATATAAAATCTAATTAGGAATCATATTATAATACAAAAACGGTTTGCAAACTATTAAATATATGTTTGGTATTTTGATGTAAAATGTTGTTTTGCTTTAAAATATATCAAAATAATTTTTTTTAGATTTTTTAAATTATTAAAAATAAAAAATAATTAAATATCATTTTAAACTAAATATACTTTTAAAATACATGAAACATAATTGTAAATATAAAAACAAGTCATATTCAAATTAAATAAATAAATAAAAATGCTTGCAGCCGAAGGCATGGGAGCTATGCACAATCACGGAACCCGACTAGAGAGTGATGTGTTCGATTTTTTAGGTTGGTCCAGTGGACATATTTTGATAAGGAAGATAATAACTATTGCAACTTAATCACCCATAGTTGTTTGGTAAAACTTTGATTTTTTAAAAAAATAAATTTAGATTATTTTGATGTATTAATATAAAAATAAATTTTAAAAAATTAAAAATATTAATTTAATATATTTCTAAATAAAAAAAATCTTAAAAAAAAAAACAAAACATTACGTGCAAGGAACATTACAAGGACTAGCATCTCTAGAAATGCCGGCTTGAAAGAAAGGCTTAAAGTACAATTAAATGATAGGTTCTCCAACAAACCCTAGAGATGAATTATTACCTTCATGTATATTTTTCTGGGACCCCCAATGTCTAAACCTTTTCTTAAATATCCCATGCCCTTGCACCTGTAAAGTGCCT